TTTAATTCAGACGAGAGCTTTTCTGTTGCGTTTTCAGTTGACCTTGATGTCAAAAGAGCGAGGACTTTTTGCTGTGCTTTCATATTTTTTTAGTTTAGTTAAATATCCAGCAGACGTACTTTTTTGATTGCCAGAAAGTCAATTTTGGTGTTTCTTGTGCTCTGAGGACAACATAATAGTTTTTGAACAATGGAAACTCCACTGAAACGATGCCCTTAGACCTGGAGCCCACATCTTCAGCTGCTTCACATTCAACAGGTTTCATTCAAGTGTTGTATATTTGATAATGGCGAACATGTGTGTTGTGTTAACATGGATCTACATTTTATACTACAGGTGTTCAGAGTGATTGAACTAAAACTTGGACCTCAGTTAAAGGATCTCATAAACGCACTCAGTGGAAGATTGCTTATCAGTTTCTACACCCCTTCACACCAATTTGGCTTCTCATGTTTAAAAACACATTGAGCTGGTTTTCCAGCTCTTCGTATCCAATCTGGTCATGTAAAAAGGAAAAGTACCAAATTCTTTGTAAATGGTGACCCAGTGAGATGTAATGAATGTCTTCACTCGTCTGCCTGATTGTTCAGTCAGAGCTGCCTAGTCGTCTGTTCATTGATCTCTAATGTCAAAGACTAATGCATTCCTCGTGTGAGACATTTCCACCGTAGTCGCACACCCTGGCAGGAGTGCATACTGATGGGGATGTAGGGGAGCTTTGAGCTCTCAGTTGGGACAAAGGAAAAGCCATCATATCTCCAATTTTTCCTCTGCAGAGGTGGTGACCGTGGTGGCTACAAAAATTACGGTGGTAAGTGACGAGCATCAGAACTGTGTCGGTGGGGGAGGAAAGAACTTGAGTTAGCAAAAAAGAAGAGGGGATTTTAAAAAAAAAAACAGAAAAGAAACTCAGTGAATGCCACCATTATCATGTCCAGATCCGAAGGGACTCCACCATTTATTCTTAGCAGGGTTTTCACATAAATGACTTCAGATATGGTAAAGAACATGGAGCCTGAGTTGTAAAATTATGGTATTGTTGCATGAAGACGAGGGCTGATTATAAATGACAGAGGTGTTCCCAGGACGAAGAAGGAAAACTTTCTAAAACTGGAGACATTTTGGTGGTTTTCATTTCTGGTGTAAGCTCAAATAAAACAGAACAATTCTGTTCTTGTTGCAAGGTGTTGGTATGTGGCGCAACGGTATGAAAACACCCATCAGAGAGCTGTAAACATGGACATTTGTTTAATTTTCTTTACCATTATTGCATTGATAGGGATGAAGTTAATAATTACTTGTGTGAAACTGTGGACAGTTTAAGTTTCCTTGCTCAAGTGTTCTCTACCATCCTCTCCTCTGTTTTACAGGCTCTCGAGACTACGGCTCAAGGGATGAACCAGGTAAGGCAGTCTTTGATCAGTACGCACCCTGGCTATTTAATCGTGTCATCCTCAATCAGCTTTTATTCAAATGTCTGTCCAGTCACTGTAATCTGATACCAGAACATCTCTTCCCCTCTAATGGCCAGTGCAGAAAAGTGCTTGATGGCACATGCCAGTTGTAATGAGTTTTTAGTGCCCTTCCTACCTAAGTTCTGTGTTGTTGCACGTTCTTTTGTTTGATTCATTAGTTATATTTTAAAGTAAACAAAATCTCAATTGACTCACGTGATTCATTAGATAGTTAGTCTTTAAGGTCGAGCGAAATAAAGAGTGAATGAAGAGTGAGAGCAGTATGAACAAGAACAAAGCAGTGAATCAGAAATAATGCGTTGATGTGGCTGAGGCCACCCATCATCGTGTGTGTGTGTGTGCGCGCTCAGCCCTGCCCTCTGTCAAACAGACACAGACCTGCAGCTCTATCCATCAATGAGAGCAGCGATAGAAGCTGTTCCATTTATTGATCCCCCTTGGGAGAAGTTCAAGTTTGTCTAGTTAACCTGTTTTAGAGACCAACATTTGAATCTTGACTTTGAATACATTATGAATGAAGTTTTTAACTATTTAGTACAACCATATCAGTTTGAATGTGTAAAATTTCAAGTTAAGCAGATATTACTTATAATTATTTTAGTTAATTGACATTAGTAATCAAAAGCAAAGTTGCCATGGTTTCCCATGTGGATATGATTATTGGTTAGATCCTACAGTTTACTCATTGTGTGACAACTTTTATGTCCTACATATCTAATCGTTGACATGTTCTCCATTGATCTCTTCCACAGCTGGTGGTGAGCAGGACAACTCTGACAACAACACCATTTTTGTCCAGGGACTGGGAGAAGATGCCACGGTTCAGGAAGTTGGTGACTTCTTCAAGCAAATTGGTATCATCAAGGTATTGAATTAGTTTGACAGTCACTAAATCAGTGACTCACAAATGGACATGTCTTCATGAAAATGAAAATGATCGTGTTAACTTGTTCCTGTGAATACCTGTTCAGGTGTCGAGGGAATAAACATTGGCACTGAGAATCCTTTGTTCATTTTGTGACGTTTAGGTAAACAAGAAGACCGGCCTGCTAATGATCAACATCTACTCTGATAAGGCCACCGGTCGACCAAAGGGAGAAGCTACAGTGTCATTTGATGACCCGCCTTCTGCCAAAGCAGCTATTGATTGGTTCGATGGTAATATCACTACTGTATCTTCATAGTCTCCAATCATACATTCATACTTGTAACATTCACTTTAACTCATATGTTGTCTTTTCATTTCAGGCAAAGAATTCAATGGCAAACCCATCAAAGTATCGTTTGCTACCCGCAGAGCTGAGTTCACACAGAGAGGAGGCGGAGGAGGAGGAGGTGGTGGTGGTGGCGGTGGAAGAGGGGGACGAGGAGGTGGGTACTGATTGAGCCACCCCAGGGCTTGAATAGAAAATATCCATTTTAAAAATATAAAGTCCTTGTGTTCATGTTGATGCTCTAAAGTTTCTGACGAATTGTTGGTCTTTAGGTTTCAGAGGTCGTGGTGGTGGTGGAGGTCCCAACTTTGACATTAAGGGAGGAGACTGGCCCTGTCCCAACAGGTTTGTTTACTGTTTCATGTATTTTTTTTTTTCTTCTAAAACATTTATATGCAGCGGAAGGGGCTCATTTTCCCCCTTTTGTGTTAATTATTTTTAATGTATTAAATGCCCGTCTGATTTCTGTCTGCAGCTCTTGTGGCAATATGAATTTTGCACGACGGCAAGAGTGTAACAAGTGTGGTGCACCCAAACCAGGAGATGCAGGCTTTGGAGGTGGAGGTGAGCGCTTCATCTTGATCTACTGACTAACTTGCAGGATTAAAAGACTAAATATTTAATTGAAGACTATCGTATCATGTTGTTTTTACTGACACAAATGTGACTGTTTGCAGATCGTGGAAGCAGAGGTGGTTATGGCGGTGACAGAGGTGGTGGCTTCAGGGGTCGCGGAGGTGGTTTCCGCGGTGGAGACCGTGGAGGCTATGGAGGAGGAGGCGGCGGCGGAGGATTCGGAGGGGGCTACAAAATGGGAGGAAGGTTGGTCAAAACTTTCTTTTTTTGCATAGTATATAAACCTCAGCAACCTGTGTGATCTGTGGTTGATGTAGTTTGATTATATTACCAGAAGAGGGCGTAGCCTCCCTGAGATTGCTCATCAAGTTCTGAAACTAACTAATGCTGTGTCCTCATACCACATACAAACTATATACGAACTATATACAGTATGTACTCTACATTGATCTTTATAGTATATTGTTGTATACTCACAGGAAATAGAATACTTGAGCACTTCATGGGGTGCTTTTTGATAATCCACCGTCCTCCTTGTACTTGTGTATTGGTTTGTGGAGGAATAGTATCCTCAGCAGCACATTCATATTTCTTTTTGTTCATGCTGACTGACTTAATTTTGCCACTTTCCTAGTATGAACACAGCGATTTGGTTTAATTTAGGGTCTTCAAACTGTAGTTCTCCCATTTTAAGTCTCCGCCTAATAAGAAGTCAACTTGTGAGTTTGTCTAGTGTCTAAATATTCATGCTGCACCCTCCTCTTGGTGTCTAATGCCCCTTGAGGGTCTTGGGTATTTGTTGATATATTGCTGCTCACTGAAGGTGAAGTGCTCTGTTAAAGGAAGGACGTCTCCTTTTTATTTATTTTTTTTTTTTTTTTGAAAGCAAATTGTATTAGCCCTCTACAGATTTAAAAGGTTGGGTGGATGAGGAACAGACGGCATATTTCACCCTCGTCTCCGTCATTCACATCACAACGGTTAACTCAATGACACAAGTGGACGCTGATCTTTTTCAAAACACAGCCGCTAACAGAACATCATTGTCTCTTCCCCGCAGAGGTGACCGCAGAGACGACAGAAGAGACCGGCCATACTAAGAGTTGAGCAGATGGAAACCATTCCAGCCCTGGAGTTCGCCATGGAGGGAGGGTTTGGGTGGGTGGGGGGGGAACAGGGAAGGGCGTAGATCAGACATTCTGGTTTGTGTACCTTTTTGACGCCAGTGCATCCCAGCTATTACTGCTCATCTGAGTGAGGGAAGGATGTGTTGAGCGAACTGTTAATGGGACTTTGGGGCTGATGGCACTGTTGGCATGTGGTCAAATGTTTGTTTTGGTTGTTTTTTTGTTTTTTTTTCCCCTGCATTTTTGTTTTATTTCTTTGTACATCCTTTTTAATTTTCCCTCAGATTCTAGCTGCAGACGTTTTGTGAGGTAGACTTCGTACCATTGTTTTGTATGAACGGAATAAAATGTTTTACTTGGGTTTTTCTTTTTCCAAAATGATATTAAAAACTGTGATCTTTTCTCTGTGCTTTGTGTGACTTCATCATTCTCGGTATTAAAGACGATTCATCCAGCCAGACATTTAAGAACTGGATCCTTTAAAGTGCAGCAGTGTACAGTAGGCAGTAGGTGCGGTGCGGAGGGGCGGTGCTGGCCCTCCCCCTCCCTCCCCCCCGTGCTCCTGCTGGGTGAGTCGGCTCCGTCACTCCTCGCAGGGATGGAGACAGTAGGCGAGCAGCAGCATGCTCTCACTCACTGACAGCGAGGGTAAACAGCGATGAGAAAAATATTAGCAGCTGAACAGAAATGCGCCATGAAGGCAGCGGTGTGGTGGTAGTGTGGTCGTCCCGCAATGAGCCGCCGACCTCCCGACCGGTGTGGAGCTGTGCGGGGTGTGAGGGCAGTCTGGATCCTGGCTGTGAGCACCCTCATCACCGCTCACACTGCCGGAGGATCACCGCTGGTCCTGGAGCCACAGGTACTTAGTGTTTGTTTAATAATCCTCTTAAACGGCCCAATAACATACTTTATTTTGATTTATTGCCTTTATACTTAATGGCTGCTACTATTTATTAAACAGCCATATAAACATGTTATTGAACTGTTTGAGACCTCAGCAGCTAAATACTGTAGATTGTCAATGGCTTTAATATGTGTAAATGGTTTACTTAATAAAATGTTTCACATGTCTGTTATTGGAGTTTAAGACCTCTCTTGGGTCTAATTAACCCCGAACATAAGCCTGTAAGATAACGTACTGTACATTTCTTATCTGTGAAGGAAACGAAGTTCATGCATAGCCCATAAAACATTTCCTTATGTGCTCTAGTAACAGTGTTTATGTTGTCACCTGTGGAGGTTCAGTTTGTAGCATGGGGAAGGATTACCACTACAGTACTTTTGCAGATATTTTGTTTTAATACGGTCAGAAATAAAATGGTTTATCTTGCAGTTATTTTCATGTCTGTGCATACAGCAGGGATGTGTTAAACCCTTAATGGAAATAAAGCAAATTTAAACAAAGAGTTGGTTAAACTCTGGCTTATGGTTAATTTAAAGGAGGAATTTTAGGAGGAGGAATAAGTTTGTGAAACTGTCTAAGCAAATGTAACAAATAGTTTCTTAATAGTGAACTGCTACATGTTTAGTTTATTGTCTACAACAATGAATGTGACCACTGAGTAACACATTTAAGACAATGTCAGCTCTATATAGTAACATACAAGGAAACCAAGCCCACTTTTATGAGAAAATACTACAATTGAATTGTGTCTCTGTGGACTGGACTGCCTAGTTTATTCTGACATTGCTCTGCCGGCCGTCCACACACTGAATGTTCATCAAAGCTGTAGGACCGTATAACATTAGACTATTACATGTGTTTCCACAACTTTACTCTTACATAAAACATAGCCTTCTGGCATGTTTCAAAGGGACAAAGAACATTTTTGTTGCACATTCCTGTTTGCTGAAGAACATCTGTCATCTCCTCAATTTTAATTTCCATCCCACCTTCAACCACATCTGTAATCATAGCTGCACCTCCTGTTGTCTGAACATGAAACCTGCTACATACACACGAAGGGCTGTGATTGAGAGATGGTAATATTAAACCATCAACATGGCTAATCTCAAACCACAATGCAACAACATCTGTTGTCACATACCCAGTTGGTTCATTTTTTACTGTATTTTACAGGCGTTAAATTTCACAACTATTCTCGGCATGAAATTCTTGAGAAATAATAACTATGAATTTTCAGGGACACCTCAGGGGTTTCTCTCTCTTATGGGTGGTCTAGATCTATACATCCGCCTTGGCAGCCTACAGCAGCTACAATACAAATGGAAAATTATCTTTATACTTTTATGACTTTTTGCCTTTTGGGGAAGTATGCCTCTCTGGGGATTTACCATAAGATGAGATTCAAAGTGTGAGATTGTTGGTCTGTAAAATCAACTACATGACCCAAAAAGTCTCCTTACTGTCTATAAAATTGAAGCACATCTTTACAGAAGGGCTCACGGTTTGGTTGATATGTTTAGCTGGAGCATTAACAAGTGTTATAACAATTGCAGGTCTTTCTGGAAAAGTACGGCTACCTGCATCAGGACAACCACCTCCACAATGCAGCTGAGATGCAGTCAGCTATCTGGTAGGTGGTAACGCTCTTCTTCATCTATTAAAGATTATTCCTGCCGATGAGTGTGATAAGCTTCACCACAGGACCATGTTATCAATGTAGAAATCACAGCGGCTCATCAGATATCCTAAATTTAATGTGATTTTACAACAGAGATGATGTGTTTTTTCTCGCTTTGACGATCAGAGTTAGCTGCTTGTGTTCATCAGGGGGAAGGGTGAGTTGGTGCGGCACAAGTCCACGGGCTGAACGTCAGTGCAGGGCAGTAAAACACACCCTCACCTCTGCACTCTCCTGAACCCTCCCTGAACCATCCAGGAATTTCAAGAACCCCGCCTTCTGGCCTGTATACTGTCTGTACTATAATGGAAACTGATTGAAGGTGTAGGATAGTTAGACAGATGAAAACTAATCTTGTACCTTTATATTTTTATTTAACAAAGGACATTATACATTAATAAAACATTGAGGCTGTTTTTCATCTGTAGCTCCTGGACAGATGTTACAAAGTCACCCTAAAAACAGATCACACTGACGATACTGTCAGCCGTCTCTGGTAAACAAATAAAGGTCATGTACACAGTGCAACAACGGGACAGGGTTTAGCCAATTCTCAAACATTAGAATAATAAATGGTTGACTGTGTTTTGAAAAAGCCAAATGTCTGTACAGCAAGACCATCATGCAAACCTTTCTTCCCTCTGCAGCGAGTTCCAGTGGTTGTCCCGACTTCCTGTCACAGGTGAGCTTGATGACGCCACCCTGAGGCAGATGTCAGAGCCCCGCTGTGGGGTGTCGGATGAGGGCAGCCAGCAGATCTGGACTCAGAGGGTAAATGCCATCTTCACTGGAAAGGGACGACCACAGCGCCGCAGGAGGCGCTCTACTGGGCAAGGTATATTGTGTATACATTCTTGAGACATCTGAAGACCTTGCCTCTTTTAGTAAGCTGTGATATCGTTCACTCCCTTATATGTGGAGGTTTTGTGTGTCCTGCTGTGGAGTGGTCACAATGAGCCAACAGTTAACTGGGAGGGTCCACTTTTGTAAACCAAAGCACCAAATAGATGTGAGGGGTGTAATTAAAGCTGGTGGAGTGTCTGATGTTGCACACGTCAGCCTGGATGATTCCTGCTTTTAGCTGCAATTACACAAGTCCACATATCTTTACGTCATCTTTACTGGGTGAAAACCTAAACTTCAGTTCTTTTTCGTCTTTAGTTTAGGAGTTACAGGCTCCTCTGTGTAATTACCTCCAGAAATCTATTATTCTAAGTTTTGTCCCTACAAATGTTGCAGGTTTCCTTTAAAAAGTTATTGAGGCTCTTGTCAGAGGTTATCCTAATTTTCTGCTTTAAACACAGTAATAAAAGCATTCATTGGCGAGCAGATCGCTGCAATTTGAACTGGCTAAAGACTGCAGGATTTAAAGTATTTAACGGTGGTTAAGAGTGCAGCTGAGCAGCCAAATTTCTTGCAGACTGCATAAAGTAATTGAGCACAAGGTCCTTCCCTCTTAGCTTAAGGTGCTTTACAGAAAATCCTTGAGAATTATCAAGAGGTGTAATTTCTCCCCTCTCTTATAAACATGTGTGGGAGATACTGAGTGGAGCTGGGTCAAACTCTTTAAACTATAATGGATTTGTTTTTTTACCCTACATGGGGCATTAGCCATTAAGATAACCCTCTCCACACTTAGGACTGATGAAGCCATATGGCGCACTCAATTTTTGGTCCTTTTGTTTCGTCAGTCTGTCTGTACATTAGCAGGATATCTAAAAACGTACTCAATAGATTAAATTATTATGTTCTTGTATGAATCTGGATCCATTCTCACCCTCTTACAGACTTACAGGCTGCATTCTTGTGTCTTTTGTGACTTATGTTTTCACCTATTTTGTTCCTACTCTCTCTCTTTGGTGCTGTCATTCCTCAATCTCCTTTGTGAATGAGCAGCAGCAGCCTGGTGCCTCCAGCCTCATGATGTGTGAAGCCTCTGCATTCCTTGCTGTCACTGACGAGGTTGGCTAACGTTCAGGGAATGCAGCAGTGGCTGATGTTTGCCGCTGCCTCTTCATGTCAGTACCTGACATGTTCCCTCCTGGTAAACACATCCACAACTGACTGACTGGATTACGTTGTTTGCCAGACTGGCTGGTTATATCAATGCCTAGATATCTTACTGGCTAAATGAGTGGATATCGTGCTGAGTGACTGACTGTTTGGACGGATTACAGCCTGTTCTTGATTAAGAAAACAACTCTCTGTCATTATTCTAGTCCCAGACAGGACTCATATGACACAAAGCTGTATTATTACACAAAGAGCAGCATTAGTAGCAGATACCTTTACACCCTCAGGTCAAACCTCTTATATATCCACTGATGTAGTTTATCAATGTAAAAACTTAATTGTGAGTAGCAGTAGAATAGTGGGGCTGTGTAAACACCACCTTGTGCTTTAACATTAGTTTGCTTTCTGGTACTCTCGCCTGGGACTGGAAGAATGTTTACTGGAAGAGTTTTATGTTTAGATAGAGCTAAGCTGCACTTTCTGTCCTGTTAATTAGTAGATATTAGCACGCTAAAATGCTTAAGTATAATGTAGTATACCTGCCACACATCAGCATGTTAACATTGTCATTGGCATGACTGCAGACTCCTCTTGTTTCTGGATATCAAACTCAGATGCTTCCCTGCAAGTCAAATCCTGCTGCAGTCAATGATTTGTTTATTGGACTTGGTTCAATAGTAAGAATGAATGAACGAGTTTGAATTTAATCTTATTTTACACAGGAAATTACATTGGGAGTACATGTCAGAAAGCTTATTACTGTTATTATTTTGCCATGTAAATGATTCTAGTTTACTAGAGGTAAAACTAAAATACCCGATAATTCATTACAAATATCAATACCAGCACTGATACTTTTTTATAATTATTAAAAACAGTTAATGTACTATCATCAATGTTCAAAAAGAGCACTGGTATTTCAGGTGTCACTCCTCTCACGCACTTGTCTCTACAGTTAAGGAACAAGCCATCCACCACTTAAACCTAATGCTTTTCTCTTTGAGTTTGTCCTTGACAGCCGACGCTGGCTGTTAAACTCCTTCAGGCCACAGCAGCATGTGGATGAGTCTGTTTATTTGCTCTCAGTTGTGGTGTGATGTGGATTTGTTTTGTGTGAACATAGCTGCCTCAGAGCTTCCCGGAAACTGAAAACAGACCTTGACTCGTGGTTGAATGTGATGTTCGTTCCCACTGATATTTACAGAGCTGACATTCCACCACCCATGTCCAAGATAAGTACTGTAAGTGTGATAGGTGTGTGTGTATTTTTCAGAGGTGTGCACTTATGGATCTGTGCCCTGCCCTGGAAACTGTTAACCACTTTAATGCCATTTTACAAACATATCACCGAACCAAACAAACTCTAATTCGACACTATTGCAGCAGAATGCACAAGTCGTATATCGGGGCTTTGCTCAGTAGAGCTGCAACAATTGCCTGATTAGTCGATTAGTCATTGGCAGAAAATGAACTGGCAAATATTTTGATAATTATTTTTTAAAACCTGAAGCTTAAGCCCTTAGTTCCAGATTCTCAAATGTGATGATTGGCTGCCTTTCTCTGTTTCATATGATTTTAAACTGGCTGTAGGAATGGCAATGTCAGACGGTCGGTTCAGCACTTTGGTCCAGACATTCATGGTCCTCAGAGGATGAATCTTTACATTCAATCAGCCTCAGTGGAACTTTATGGTTGGCGCTAATTAGCAAACATTAGCATGCTAAAACGCTAACCTTGTGAACCTGGTAAACATAAAGCAGGTTTGTCACTGTGAGCCTGTTAGCATGCTGAGCTTAGAATTAGGTGCTTCAAACATCATATAAGTTGGCACCAGTAACAAACCAAATCTCTCTGCACCTCCACAAACAATAACTTTGGCTATCAGATGATCTCAGCCACTTCCTAATGTCTGTGATAACCCACCCGCCCCACACTGCTGCTATAGAGGGCATCATGCTAATTGCTTCCATAAGGGAAGTCGGGGAATGTCTTGTGTATCTGACTTCCTGGCTTCTCTGCCGTCCTCGGGGACCTCTTACTCTGCGGCGGTCTGGGACGGAGCCTGAGCTCTGCTGAAAATACAGAGCTACACACATCATGTGGCAACAAGCCTGGTGCATATAGATCATCTGGGAGGGAAAAATGAAGCAGGTTGGGAAAACAAGGTAGTTTGTTGAAGTGACTGACTCCAGATATCAAATTGTGTATAAAAGGCAGGTTGTAATGGCAGTGACTCCTGAGGTTGAACCTTGCCTTCTTGTATTGTTTTGTCTTTCTTTACTATTAATGTAAATCAATGGGATGACTGTTATTCACTCCTATACAGTTGTAGTGTTTGAGACCCTGGTGCTTCCAATCTAATATTTCTGTGAATCGTTGCAATAAAAATGCTAAGGATCAAGTTTTACACAACTTTACGCTTAAAACAAGTTTACGCTGAGATTCGTGTTGAGTTGCTGCTGGAGCACAAATTCTGTTTGTGTGTTTACACAAACACAAACGCACGCTGATGTCATTGCCAAACCCATGTCTTAATGGCTCCAGATATCCAGATATCCAGATATTTGCTTTTCTCCAGGGTGCTATTGAGCTAATTCACAGTATGTAGTGCATACCTCTCGTTTATCGCTCTCATCTTTCACACAACTCTGTGCTGTGTGTTTTTTAACCCGGGCACAAATTACATCAAAATAACTCAAAGGTCAACGTTCTCCAACCCGACTGCCTCCTCCCTGTATGATTGAGCAGAAACATGTAATGCAGCCGTCAGTGCAGACCTCCCACTCTCATTTGGCCTCTACATCGAGGCAAACATTGAGCCACATTTCTAAATATTTTGACAACTGTAAGTGTGCTTGAGTTATTTTGCCACTTTCTAGTCAAGCGTCAAATGTGAAAGTATGTAGAAATTTTAAAAGCAAGTCGTCTAAAGTGCACAGTGAGTTTGATTCTAGCACCCACTCTCACCCTCCAAAGCCCTCTTAACAATACAAGCACAAATACTGGTTCTGTGGTCTTTTTGTCCGTGTCGGAAGGGCTCTAAAGCTGAAGACTGCAATATGAATAATATGTGAAGTACTGGGAAATTGACTGTATATAAAAATGTCATTGAAAGAGTCTGTTCCTGGGGCGTCGTGGTCACCTGGTAGAGCTGGTGCCAAGTGTACCAAGGCTGCAGCAGCTGTGGATTCGAGTCCAAACCTGTGGCACTTTGCTGCGTGTCATCCCCTCTCTCTCCTCCCTTTCCTGTCTATCTTGAGCTGTTCTGTCAATAAAGGCAAAGATCTTTCTTTCTGTACAAGAAAGAAATAATAATAAAAAAAAATAAAGATAAAGGTCAGTTTTTCTGTACAGTTTTTAATCAAGGGTTGCAGTCCAATTGTCCTTTGTTGGAAGGTTTTCCTGCAACCATCTACATGGAAATTATTTATTTATTATATCAAATCAAATTATTTTAAATTTATATTCATATATATTCCCCCCGGTGTTATTATATAACAGAGCAATTAACATCTACTCCAAATATTTTTACAGATCAGCCTCGAGTCAAGAAATGTTAGATTTTTGCAGAGATGATTCATATGATTATTAAAATAACTAATTAATTAATTAAAAATTATCTTTGTGTTTAAAATGTACCAACGCTTTCATCAGTTCATGAACTTGACCAGTCAAAGTGAGGGTCCAGCCTCTCCAGCTGCCTCCCCCCCCGAAGGTTCATATTATCTAATGACTGTTTCCTGCGAGGCAGCCTCTCTGTCTGCTGTGTGAATGTGTGCTGCATGGTTGGTTGTCTGTGTTTGCTGTTATGTTTGCTTTGTCTCCAGATTGCTACACTGGGCAATCCTGTGTATATATTGAAGAGATTAGCATTTTGTAAATTAAAGAATGGCTGAATTTAACTCCCCCCTTCCCGCTGTCCCACAACAAATGTGAGAATCTGGAGTTTGCGACACATGTGATTATGTCTAAGCTGAGAAACCACAGACACGTGTTGAGGTAAATTGTTTAGTCAAGCATGTGCTCAGAGTGCTTGTTAGTTTACCCAGCTGTGAGCTAACATGGTTAACATCCTATCATTTGGCTCTGAATGGATGCGGGGGGGCTCTACTTCAAAACATCACGGCTGAACGTGGGATATCTGGCATTCGAATTTATACTACAGATGGAAACACATAGCTGCTGCAGTAGGTAATAATACTATAGAGATAGAGAGAAACCTTTCTTTAAATAGCAGTATTAAACCACATAGAGACATGGTGTGTATATTTGATTGAAGGACTTTGTCACATGTGTTCTCACTAACAGGAAGTAATTCATTCCTACTAAAGACGTTTTTTAAAAATGGGTCACAAATAAATACGTAATACTTTTTAAAAAGCTAAAATATTTCCTGAATCAGCTGGGCATTGTGCTTTAGTTTTTAGCATCACTCAAACAGACTATGTATTTGGTGTGTTAGTGAGCAGCAGCAGGACAGTGTCTTTAGGGTTGACTCAAAATAAACTAGAGTGCCCACAATCATGGTAATGAAGAAACATGTCACGCAGTGCAGTACTTATTTATGTTTTTTGAATTATTTTAGACATTATCAGGCTTTGGCTACACAGTTAGTATTAGTACACTTGTTAGAATCAGTTCATTGTTGGGTTTGGTCTTTTCATGGAATAGCAGAACACATGGTTGTAGTTTTAGTCTGGTGTTTGCTCAGTGATATTGAAGACAGGTGTACATTGGTAGGGCCTCTAATCAGTGATTGACTGAGGGTGGTGGTTACATTAAAGCTGATTCAGTCACTGCTGTTGCCATGGATACACTTTGATCGTCAGCAATAACAAATGAATCTGAAACTCGTGTTTTCTTTGTTATTGTTAAAAGCTTTATATCAGTGTAGCTCACATCGTGCTAACCTGAGCAGATTCCGTTCCAGTTGAGGAATTTGTTGTTTTTGAACTTCCCAGTCTTTGCCCTTCATCTGTGTTTTATCAGCATTTTTTGCATGAACTGTTTTCCAAACTACTAATTGAAATATTCTTGCTCACAGGAACACTGCCAGGGTTTTTCTTTGGGTTGTCTGGTGATTTGAGCTTATCTGTTGTTGCACTGGCTGTAGGTTTGTGATGACTAAGATTGTGAGCTTGATACCTGCCTGTCTCCTATCTCTGTTCCTCTCTCTCTTTCTCCCCGTGGGTGTTCTCCAGCTGAGAAGTGGTACAAACGCCATCTGACCTACCAGATAGTGAACTGGCCTCACCACCTGTCTCCGGGCTCCGTGCGGCTGGCAGTGCGCGCTGCCTTCCAGCTGTGGAGCAACGTGTCAGGCCTGGTGTTCCAGGAGGCCCCTGACGGTCCCGCAGACATCCGGCTGGCCTTTTATGAGGGAGACCACAACGACGGGGCCAGCAATGCCTTTGACGGGCCAGGTCAGGGACAACCACACACTGATTCAAGTCATCACTGTTCTACTGAAATGTTTTCATAGTTTTAATTTGTGTGTGTGTGGTGATTGTTTTGTGTTACGTATGTAATCTGTTCTCAGGTCTAGATCCCAATATCCTGAATGAAGAAAGCTTAGCAAGTTCCACTCTTTATGTGTACACAGTAACAGGATTACTGTGAATAAAGTTCAAGTTTCTTTCATTACCACATGGCTTGGCTGGTGGAAATAATCTCAGTACTGATGGAATGGCTGTAACAGTACAACATATATAACATCAATGCAAACATAAAGGACAAAATGCAAAATAGATACAGCTTCAACTGTATTCCTTTAGGGCCTGTACCGTCTGCCAGAGGGGGGGGGGACGCTGACAAAGGTGATGAACTGGGTGGAGGGGTTCATCCGTGATCTTGATTGCTCGTGAGATGGTGTGTTGTGTGCATATATGGAGTCCAGAAGGTTGGCACCTATGATCTTTGATGATCTGGTGATAATTCTGTCCATTTTCTTTATGCGTGTCTCCATACCGGACAGATATCGGTATGCTCTGGATTATGGCTGTGTAAGTATTCTCGGGAAGAAGAAGAGTCTCTGTTGGGCTTTTTGTATTTGATAGTTGGCGTTGAGGTCCCATTTCAGTTACATTGCACCAGTTTCAGTTACATGAAAAAATAATTTAATAGAAGATTAAATTAAGCCAAAATAGAATATAACAATATAAAAACACAGTACTAGAGGTACAAATATATAGTATTTTGTAAAAAAACAAGGATGACAGACTTAATAATGATAATAATAATTAAACAGGTATAAGTGTTTTCTTATTTGTTACTTTAGTAATAATCTTGCAACCTGTTGTGAGCGTCCTGATCCCCAAGTTGGTGGAGGCAAACCTGTTCCAGCAAGTCAATTGATTTCACAGAAATCTGACTGTACACTTTAAAATAAGGAATAGAAATACTAAATAAACTGAGCAATTACATTTGCTTTGTCTGTAGATGTTTAACATACCCTAAACATAACCAAACCTTTATTTGTGAACATTGTAGCTGTTGAATCTCAACTAATAAGCTGTTGAAATGTTACAAATAATCTATAAACTGTCTGTAGGAGGACTATCCACATAAAGTGGAACCGTACAGGTAGCTGATAATACCTTTCTGAATGTAGGACTTTAATTTGTAGTGGAGTAGGTCTACTTTTACATTGCTGTATTGGCACTTTTACTGAAGTAAAAGATCTTAACACTCCCTCTTCCCCTGGCTGTTGAACTAATACGGTACGACACTCACAACTGTTTCCCTCCTCTTTGAAACTTCAGGAGGAACTCTGGCTCACGCCTTCCTGCCTCGCCGGGGGGAGGCCCACTTCGACAGGGCGGAGAGGTGGACACTAAACGGACACAAGGGACACAACCTGTTCATGGTGACTGCTCACGAGATCGGACACACTCTGGGACTGGAGCACTCCCCCGTCCGTCACGCCCTGATGTCGCCGTACTACAGGAAGTTGGGCCGCAGCCTGGTGCTGAGCTGGGACGACATCATCGCAGTGCAGCAGCTGTACGGTGAGAGGATGGCACTTCTAGGGTGATTTATTCAACCCTGCAGGTCTTATTCGTGGATTTATTGTGTCTCATCCAGATTCAAACATTTCCAAGACACCAAATGAAGCTTAACAGCTATTGGAAGGCAATGTTTTCTTTGTGGTCCAAAGGTCAGTAAGAGTGTTAAACGTAGCACCTTCACTTCACACACAAAGATATTTTTACCACTTTTCCCCCAGGTTTAAAGTCTGAAAGGTTGAGAAAAAAGCACTTTAGTGGACAGATGACAAATGTCTCACTGTCTGGCCTCAGGACAGCTAAGTTACAGATGGTGAAATGAGGCTGCCGTTTAAAATGAACTATTATTGGAATACATAGAACCGATTACATAAATTACTGACTTGTTATAAAAACAGAAGAAACACAGACGTTTTTGCTCTGTTACCCATTAAATCAGGAGTCATGGCACTGAGCTGTGAAAAGGCCAGAGAGGCAGCCCTGAAGGCCACCAGCTGCAAACACAGAATGAGAATGAATAGAAACGGCAAAGCCTGTTGAGAGTTTCCACAGCTCATTGAAACATTGCATTGGATTCAGAAAGCTGTCTTCTGGCTGTTCGTCTTTGCTCATTTAAGTGTTCAAAGTTCTCATGACACAAAGCCCACCGCCATGAATGTGATCCTCTCTCTGTTGTCTTTAACAGCACGAGGAAGTCTGTTCTATCAGCTTCACTTCTGTGGCCTCTCAGCTGCTGGGAGAAGTAGGTTTAAACCGAGGGCAGCAGAGGTGGTGTGAACGTCAAAATAACACACACTGAATGGCTTCCTCACTGGCAGGAAGGTTGGGTTTCACTGCACACTCAGTGGCCTGTTTGTGTATTATTAGTTTCCTCGGTGCTACACACAGTGTTTACCCGGGAGTTTAGCCGGCTCTGTTGTGATAGATTACTGGTGCTGTTGCAGAGGGTGTGAGCATTACATACATCTTTGTGTATGACAAATAAAATAGTTTCTGTTTACTGCCAGTGTGTTGTCCCTCCTGGCATGTGTATAAGGCAGGTTTCCACATGTGCAGAGTTCTCTTATTGCTTGTTTTCTGCTGCTGCGATACTGATTTCACTGCAGCAATTGCACAAGAACAGGTTCCTAACTTGTCTGCCGAAAAATGGCTTCTGCAACTGCTCCTCTGTGATGATGTGACGCTCCAAGATGCATGAGTCCTCTCCCTGCTTTGACCCTGAAACGAGCTGTAAAATAGTTGCATGTAAAGACACAACATTCTGCAGGAATGTTTGCATGGCTGCAGGACAGTCTCACAATCGTTCAGATAATTCGACTCTGAACTTGAGATTCAGCTCAACAGCAGCTGGCAGTACAGTATCTCTCCTTTTCTGTTCAGTATCTGAGGAGTCCCATCTGCTCTGCCTCTGGAGGTATTCTGGCCTCAGCTTCCTAAAATGGTATTTGCCAGCCTTTTCTCCTCAGGGCCTCCCTTATTCACACTGCATTTTAAAAAAAAAATGACCACCCTGCAGCCTCGGCCGAGCCACCACTCAGTCACATTTTCGGCTCAGTTACACTCAAAAACCACAGCGCTTAATGCCACTTTGATTTATTGTGTGACCATAGATAATAACATTGAATTAATTGCGGCAATTAGAAGAGATGATTAGTGTTTAGTGGGTCATTGAGCTGGATGTGAAGTGTTTACTTATGCCTGTTAAATAAAAAGAATCCAAGACAGCTCTCTGGTAACTTTTTTTTATAACATAAAGTTATCCAGGATTCTTTAGCTGGCGCTCAGGTGGAGTTCTTCATGTCTGTTTATCTACCTGATTCCCACCCTGTGGCAGTAATTTCTGTAGTCTGCAGCTGCTCCCACGTAAATGTCAAGCAGCTCCAGAGACAGACATGGACAAGAACCGCAGCTGACAGGACTGCTGGCACTGTGAAAACACTACATCTGTTTAAAGATATGGGCTTTAGGCTGTGTGTGTGTGTGTGTGTGTGTGTGTGTGTGTGAGAGAGAACCATTCCTGGTGTTGGAATTGGTGATCTGATAGGAAGCAGATGTGAGGCAGCCTGAGCACGCCAGGCTCCTGAGCTCCTGACTACCTCTGATTACTCTGTGACCAGAAACATAAAAACCCTTGAAGTATTTTATATCATAGAAGACGTTAGTGGTGATTCTGCCCTATAAGACAATGTATGTACAGTATGTATGATGAACAGCAGTGGTGGTTCTAACTATAGATGTCTAGTAAATGTTATGGGAGTCAAAAGTACATTTCCCACTGAAATGTTGTTGATTTGAAGATTAAAGTAAAATGGAAATACTCAAGTAAGGTACAAGTACCTTACAAATTGAAGGCCCAGTGTGTAACATTTATGAGGATCTATTGTCAGAAAT